GTACATCCAAAGAAGTACTCATATAAATGCTATTGCTTATTGCACTTTGATTTAGTATTTCAAGATTTTGAGGACTCTGACAAAATCCTTTGATAAACCTGCCAAATAGGCACCTTTGAATAAGCATTTGATATTATCTAAGATCTTGAAGAATAAATTCCTAAGAATAGTTTTAGATCCAATCAACTATTATAAGGCTATTCTTGTTCCTGAATTAGATACTGGTGAAGAAGAAGTGAAAGATCCCTTGCTTTATCATAGAATAAAATTGCACTCAGAATTAATAGTCTTGTTAACTGAATGTTGCCAATATTATAGATTAGGAATATAAGAAATGCAAAGAATACTATTATATGAATAATTAAAGACCATTTTATTGGCTCCTACTGGAGAGTATATTGTTAAACGGGCTTATTTGCAATGCTTATTTGAATTATATATCAATTAAGTTAAGGAAGGATAATTTGTAAATGATACAGTTGAAAGCGATGAAGTACGAGATATATTGTCCAGAGTAATAATACCAGAATTAGATTAGAAATAAATCTGCAAACATTTGGAGGGATTATCTAAATTAGCAAATCAGGATAGAAATATGAAGGTTATTCAAAAAGATTTGAGAGATTCAATTAAGAGATAGAAATTAACATATTTTGAGAAAAAACTGTCTTTTGATTCAGAATTTGTAAAAGAATTGGGAATATTAAGAGATGTAAGTGAATATTGGAAGTATTTGAGAAAAAATGGAATGATACATTTTCTAGTTTACACTTATGATGAGATGAAAGATAGAACTGATCTTGAAAATCCTGAAAATTCGAATTTGTCTGATGAATTTGCAATCATTAAACAGAATGTTTAAAAAGTTAAAGAGATTTTTAATGTTTTAGAGAGAGACTTTAGAGTTAAAAAAGAAGATTTGGATTTGGATGATTATAGAGAATTGATAACTTCAATTGAAGAGATAATACCATAGAGAAAAATTACTAAGTTTGGCCAGAATTTTAGAATAGGATTTCAATAAGATAAAACAGCCAATAAATTAGTTTTCGATTAGTTTGATACTTTGAAAGAAGATTAGACTGGAGAGAAAAAGTTGTAAGAATAAGATAATGTCCAAAGAATTGAAAATCCTTTTAGGAGAAACTTTAAAGTGTATCTCATTAGATATAGGTTGAATATTAATGAGTTTAACGAGTATATAGAAAATAACTCAACTGAATAAGAAAGGTCTTAGAAAATCCTTCTTACTTGCAACCATTATAAAAGTTACATTTAATAAAGTGATATAGATGAAATCTATAGAGTAAATGTTGAATAAATAAAGAGATCAGAATAAGTAAACAATAGAAATAAACCTCTGCTAGATTGGGATTTATTCAAATAAGCCATGAGAGATTTATTTGAAATGAAAACTGTTTAGGTTGTAATAAACTAGTAAGTACAAACATATCAGAGATAACAAGAAGGGTTAGAAAATCTTAAGTAAGAGTTTGAAATTACTTGCTGTAAATAGATTGGAAAATAATATAAAAAGTATGGAGGTTAATTAGAAGGATCTTAGGATTTACTTTCAGATGATATATAGATTGAATTGCTAATAAAAACTTTAGAAAAGCAGAACACTAACTTATTAAATGAGGATAATGTATAGGAGTTTTTGTAAAAGTGTATAGGCATATTTTTAAATAGAGAATTCTACCTAATAAAGTTATGTAAAATATTCTTGTTTTTGAAAAGACCAACATAAGATGACATAGATTCACTTACAGAAGCTAAGGATGAGAAGTCAAAAGAATTAATAAGAGAAAAATAATTGATATTCATTAAATATTAAAATGCTATAGTGGATAGTGATTTGGACATATTGGCTTTAGAGATGTTGAATGACTCTGTTGATGATGTACAAAAGATAGAGGCTTTGTAGTTGTTAATTTACTTATTGGATTATGGAAATGACTATGTGTAGAAGAAATTCTATAACATACTGAAATAGGATCAGGTAATTAAATCAAAGTTCTTTGTTTTCCTTCGAGGATTCTTCTTGACAGACATTAATTCTAGAATTTTAGAATTGGAATTATGTGAAGGGAATAACACTGAATACAAAATACTGTGTTTGAAAGTACTAAAACTATTGTAGGCTATGTGTGAAAATGTCAATGTTGATTTCCAGAAGTTTTTAGTTAGATAATATGATGATGATTCATATCAAGCCAATATTAATATTGTTAATGAAGTTGCCAGTCTATTGGCAGATTTATTGGAAAAGGGATAGAGTGTATTTGATAAGTTACAGGAAATCTACAGATAAGCTTTAGAGAGTTTAGTTGAATTTTCTACAGGATTTGAAGAAAACAAAAAAGAATTATGCAAAAACACACGATTGTTTACATTACTGAATTAGATTTTATAGAGAGATGATTTGGTGTCATTTAAATAGTTACATCAGGAGAATAGAAATATCATAAAAGAAAACTTATTGAAATCATAGAATCAGGAAGAAGATCTTATTATAGATTTAAATAAGAATTAGGCAGATGAAGAAGAGAGAAAATATAATTCATATTAGACACTACAATCATTTATTAAATTATTGTTATTGATTACACAAGGGAAATTTGATAAGCAATGTTTGAAATTTATATTAGAAACTGTAAATATCACAATACTGATGAGAATTGCAAGATCAATATATCAGGAACGTATTAAACCAAAATAGAGAAATATCATTTTAGATAACATTTGTGATGAATCTAAAACTGGTTAACATCAATATTGTACAAATAACTTATGTCATTTTGGATTAAGAACAGATGAGGACAATTTACTTATTTAAACTGGATTTAATATTTTCATTATTTGTCTAAAATTATCTGAGCATTTTCCAACTGACCCATAATTAGAAATATTTAGATTTGATGAAGAAGATGAGGATTAAGAAGACTTTATCGATTTAAGTGATCCATAATAAGAGGAATTACATAAAAAGAATACATAGAACTAATAAAAAGTTGTACCCATTTTTATAAAAAATAAGAACTCTGATTAAGAAGAGGAAAATGCTCTACTAAGTAATAATTTAAGAGTAACTCAACAAAATGAGTTTAAATAAATATTTGATGATATTCAAAATGATGAAAATTATAAGTTTACTAGAAAGCAACCATTCTTTAAATTTTATAGGTAATTTACAGGTAGAATTGAAATCTAAAATGAATAATCTTAACTTGAAAAGATATTCTTTTAAAAACCTTTTACATGCAATTTTGTCACTCCTAACATTAAATAGCATTTAATTTATGAGATCAATCGAGAAACTGATGAGGATAGAATGTAAGGATTGATTGATTAGGCTGACTTTTATCATGTCTAAATGAGGCATTCCTAACAAATTAACAATAGTTTTATTATGCATTTTGGAGCAGTCTATTGGAGATTATTAAAGGACTTATCTTTTATTCTTTGTTTGGTAATTGTCATTCTTTTGATTTTTTTGCATGACATAGTGGTCAATAGTAAAATAGGTTCTAATCAAGAAGCACCTGAATCTGAAACCAAATCTCAAGGGTAGAATTTCGTAAGTTATCTTAATAATGTAATATATATATTAATTACTATAGATTATAACCATCATCTAATTAGTGTTGAATCTAATCATAGTATTTTTTTGCGCAATTGAAAGATACCCAATATCAATCACATATAATAGAGGTGAAACTAATGCAAAAAGAGTTCAGATCTTAAAAAAAGAAGCTGGTTTCTCAATAGCATGGTTAACAATGAAATATTACACTATTATTGGATATTTTGAATCTGAATTTTAAGGTTAGAAAGTTAATGAAAGTACGTTAAAGAAGCTTATTCTCGTTACATTTTTTGATTTTGATAATTTTTACAATGTAAATGTAATTTTTTAATTTAGATTTGCATTTTCGGATTGACAGTGTATGCATTTTTTAACCCATATATTTATGCTGTGCTACTGTTAGATATCATCAAGAGATCTGAAGATCTTCAGAACATCATTAAATCAATTACATCTAATGGACGTAATTTAGCTATATTCTCTTTTCTTGGCTTTATCGGGTTACTAATTTATGCTATAATTGCATTCTCAAACTTTGATTGGATGTTTAATGATGAGGATGGTGTTTATGGTTAAACATTTATCTTAGCTGTCACATCGACCATAAACTTTGGTCTGCGTAGTGGTTTGGGAGATTCCATGAAAACATATCCTGAACCATATGAAGATCCAACTTTATATTGGGGAAGGTACTTTTTTGACTTTTCTTTTTTCATTATTTTTAACATTTTGTTTATCTAAATAATCTTTGGTATTATTTTAGATACTTTTGGTGAATTGAGAGATGAAAGATAAGCTTTGGTGAAGGAAATCGAAGGAAAATGTTTTGTTTGCAGTCTTGATAAAAATGATATTGATACCAAGTAATATAGAATTCTATATATTTAGTGGAACAAGGGGATGGCATTATCATATATATTTAGAACACAGCGTATATCATATGCTCTACTATATTATCTATATAAAGAATAAAGATCCGAATGATTGTAATGCTTTGGAGAAGTATGTGAAAAAGTGTATAGAGGGAAAGGAAACTGCTTTTTTTCCATTTGGAAGAGCTCTATAAATAGAGGATTAGAATAATGAGGAAGAAGAAACTATTGAGCAAAGCGACTCCTGACATTAAAATCCTATTGATTTATATTATCCTAAAAGATTAATATATTATTCTAAGACTTACTCTGTTTAAGTTATTATATCGTGTGATCTGCGACGTTAAATAGCTAAATGTCAAATGTAATCTTCTATCAAAAATCACTAAAGTTTAATTTTCATTTATTTCAATGTATACAACATCGGTTTGATGTTATGTTGAATAATTTCAATTTGAAATATGTACAATAAGAGGCTATTTAACTTAATAAGTAAATTTGAATTAGATGAAATATTTATTAAATTTAATTATCGAAAAATGAATTCGCCTAGCATTCCAAACAAAATAATTAATAATTAATTTGTTCTGAAGAAAAAATTATCGGCTGGATCATATGGAGTTGTTTTTGAAGCTGAAGATTTATTAAAAAAATAATTAGTGGCTGTTAAAATAGAGAAAAAAGAAAAGAATTCAACACTCGACCGTGAAATACATATTCTTACAAGACTATTAGGCACACAAGGTGTTCCAAAGTTGTTTTGGAGTGGGATAGATAACAATTCCAATGTACTCGTTTAACAATTGCTGACAAAGGATATTGGGGCATATTTAAAAGAATATCGAAAGTTTTCATTAAAAACTGTTTTAATTATAACTGATTACCTTTTACAAGTGATAAGAAGAATTCATAATAAATCTGTTGTACATAGAGATTTAAAACCAGAAAACATAATGTATCATTAAAAACAAATCTACATTGTTGACTATGGTATCAGCAAGTTATATCGAGATAATAACTTAAAACATGTGTATAAATAGTAGATTAATATTTAAATAGACCATTTAAAGAAAGTCGATCATTTGTAGGAACCACAAGATACGCTTCAATAGCTGCTCATAAAGGTCAGGAACTAGGAAGAAAAGATGATCTTGAATCTTTGATATATATAGATATTCTATTATTAAAAGGGTATTATGAGCATATTAAGTTAGAACAAAGAATTTTACCATGGTAGAACATGCTAGGTTAAAATAATAAGGAAAGATAGAAGTAAGTTGGAGAAAAGAAAATGAAAATGACTCCATAAGAAATCTGTGTTGATTTACCCATTGAATTTTCGAAAGCTTTAGAGTAATAAAAATATTTATGTTATAGTTATATAAGATCGTTGAAGTATCAAAGCGACCCAGATTACGATTACCTAATTTAACTCTTTAGAAAGTTAGCTCAATCTCGAAAAATTGAATATGATGATGTTTATGACTGGACTTCATAATCAAATTAGTCTACATCAAATAATTAAAAATAGGAAACTACAATCAAATAAATATCGTCTTTGCAATAATTCGAAAGATCTCCAATAACTATGCAAAATAAGTGGTAACTCTTCTGCTCTATTATAGTTAATCACTAAAGGTGCCTTCAACATATGATGTTTTATAAGATAGAAAAAGATCACTTTAGAACACATCCTATTTATAGTAAGTATAAGATGAATTAGATAAATCCATTCAAAATACTTATATGCTCAGCTAAATTGCAAATGATTATGATTCAAAACATGATTATGTTTCTGAGGATGATATAAATGATAATCTTTTCTAAAGATACAATTAGTTAAAATCTTAAATCTTATAAATGTATCTCTTAATTATATATTTAGACATCACATGAAGAAAATTTAGAATCAAAAATAGTATGTGATGAAGTTATGATATTTTAAAAATACTTAATAAATTCTTAATATTAATGATTATGTTTTCATATAAAAAATATTAAGTGACTTATTACATGTTTGTTATTAAATCTAATAAATATTGATAAACCAATTAAATAATGGCATCTCTGAGAAATGTTAATTTCTAAGTGAAAAAAATATAAAACTTATTACTTCTATGAAAGGAGTAATAATTTCAGTTTTATTATAGTTTTTTCCAATACTTATGTAACCAATAATTTACAAAAAATTAAAGAAATAATTTTGTATATTCGATATACAATATTATTTTCTTACAAGAGAATGTTCAAAAATGAGAATAAATTAATTTTATTCAAACCAAGTAAGAATAAACAAGAAAACAAAATGATGTAATCTCAAAGTCTCAATTATATTGTTTTTCATTTTTCATATTGGCTTAACATATAAAATTGAATTCTTTAACATTAATAATGTTGATGACTCGACATTATATAATAAAAAACAATTGTTTATTTAGATTTCAACGATCATTTCTTCAATTATTACTCATAATTTGCATTCAACACTAAATTCAATCTGTTTATTAGTTTATTATGTTCTGATTTTACTTACTATATAATTTATAAAAATTACCCTAGAACTTTAGGATAATATAAAATGTTAAATAAGTTAACCCTTAGTTTCAAATCAGAGGCTATCGAATAAGAATTCAGAGAAAACCAATAATAAAAAATAAAAGAAGAGTTTAAATTATTCACTATATAATGTTTGGTATAAATAACATGTTAATGAAGTTGTACTTTCCTTTTTATGTATTGACCTACTTTTAATCATAATACTTTAATTTGATTAGTATTTTGATAATTTTAATAATCACTGGATTGGTTGTGTTGTTTAAATTGATAATTGACAATTCTCCAAATTGGATCAACATAATATTGCCTATTTTATAAATTTTGTTTGCTCTCATATGGAGTGCGGATAATTTATAGTCAGAATAATATATAACAAAATACTCTTGGTTTTATGGATTTTAATCATTTTATTTTCATTATGGTACTTATTTTATATACAATAGCCATTATGTAGCAAGGATATTAAATATTACCTTAGACCCTAAGCTTGTTGGGATTATATGTGTATTTCATAATCTTGTTTACTAATGATACCTTGGAATTTATAGCATTAAGTCTGACATAGTTTAGTGTTGTCATAGGTCTTATATTTTTAAAATATACAAATTTAAGGCTAAAACGATTGCAATTTATTGATCATAGGGAAAGAAATAAATGGATAAAAATTATAGAGTAGGTGGTAGATTATCAATTGATTGTGGTTTAATTTGATAAAAGGCAAGATCAAATCATAATGAAATAAATCAATGATGAAACCAAAGAGAAGTTTTAGATTAAAGATAATCAAGATCTAAGAAAAATTTTAAGAGATGTTTTAATATTTTTATAACTCTAGATGTAAATTATTACAAGTGGAACTTCTCAAAGCAAACCTATAAAGGAATCCTTAGAAAAGGCTATTAGAGATTAATTTTGCCATAACTATTAGTAACTAGTACCATCCTACGACGTTATATCCAATGTTTTGAAATAGGAATTCAGAGTTAAATTAATTCAATACATAGTTTAAGAAGTTTAATGTGTTATCCTAGCTTTTGATTGTTAGTCAAGGTAGGAGATAAAATCAGCATTAATGAATCAAAAGCTCTCCGAAAATATATTTCTTCAATATTCTTCTAACATACTTTCTTGCATATGTAATTATCATAATAAGTTGGTTATACTACAATAAATCGTTAATTTACAATTTTATCGTATATGGGTGGATAATAAAAGATTGATTACATAAAAAACTCAAATAAAACTCCCGTCCCTAATTTCTTAATTGTAAAATACTTTATAAAGAAAGATTAAATTAAAATAGAGTTTTGAATTTAATGATTCTCTTTTGTTAAATTTTAATGCGTTATAAATGGTTTTGGTTGGATTAACATAATTTGTTGATCATGACTTTAAGGTGGCAATTAAATTGAATAATCAGATTCTTATGAAACATCTAACATTTAAGATTGAAACTAAAAATACACTAGTTCCAATTCAAATTTGCAACTTAATATAAAGATAGTTAGATTTTGATGATAACAATTGGATCAAAAATAAATAAAAAATTATTGAATGCATCAAAATTTTATCAGACAAAAAACAAACAAATCAGGATGTGTTTTTGTTCTCTTTCATCATGTGCTCATATTTTTTGAATTCATCTTTTAATTAAAGTAAATTGAGATTTTCAAAAAAAAAAGATCAAAGATAAAAAGTCACTTTCGAAATAATCATATGATTGAAAGATTAGTCTTATTTTCTAAACTCTATATTTAAATAATATAATAAAAGTGCAATTTATTCTAAAAATATTATAATTCGAATAATTAAGATATGATTGAATTTCTAATTAATAGCGTTTTTGAAGCAGTAATTATTTCTTTTGTTACTCATTGTATTACAACTAAACAATCATTTTCAAGGAAATAGCAAACGGGTCTTCAATTAGGATTAAGTTCCATAAATAAAAATAATAATTACTAGATAAATTGTGATATAATAATATGAGCTAACTAAAATTTAATTGATCTATAAGATTTAATATTAGTAGATATGTGTCCTTAAAAATCTTTAGATATTTACTTAATTACTTAAAGATATCAAATTATATTATTAACTCAAGAAAAATCATTAGATTGGGCAATATAATAGATATGTTTTTGAAATAACTAGAAAACTTTATTGTTCTAATTTGATTATTTAAACATATTTATATTTAAAGAAACATAAATAGGAATGATATTAGGGCAGAGTTCAAATATTCTGTACATTTTAGGAATTTAATAATTAGTTTATTTAATAAAAGTAAAAGAACGATAATAGAGATACATATTAGTACAAATTTGAATACAATATATTATCATTTGATTTCAGCTGTCTTAGTTTTTCTCAGAGTCAGCATTTATTCTTACATAACTATTTGAGGAATTTGAGATCTTCTTCTATTTTTATCAACTTAAATAAATTGATCTACAACTCTAAATTGAACCCAAGCTTTTCCTTGCATTAGTTCATCCAGCTACATTGAAAACACATGTAATACTTCTTCATTAATTTCTTATTCAGTATATCCAGTTTTCTTGACGATTTTCCAAAAAGTCAACCACTCTTAAATTGTGATATCCCCAGAATTATCGAAATCAACTGCTTTGAATAGAGCATCAGTATTGATTTTAGCAAAGTTAGACTACCTAAAGAAAGTGATATAGAGAATAAATACCAAAACTATTGTGTTGTTTTCTTGTCAATAACTCCTTTATTCTCTTTATCAATTTTTTAGAATATTTGAATAGCTTTTAGTCTTAGAGATGCTGATAAATCAGTTCCATGATGCATAGATGAACAAAGTCCCATAATTTTTAATTTATATAATAAGTAATATTTTTATATATATTGAAAGCTATAAAATGATGATTAATTCAAATTGAACTAACTTTTCATGAATGCTATTCAACTTAATTCATTGAAATCAAGAGCTATTTTTGATTTTCAAAAATATAACTTTTAAAACCATTATCAATATTTATATAAATTATACAATAATATATATCCATTCCTAAAATTCAATAAATTAATTAGAACATTATTGAATTAACGATAATTAGCTATAGAGAAGGTTAATCTTACTAAAATAAGATGATGTTAATGATAAGATTCTAGAATCAACTTAAAGTTTATATAACTTAAATAGGTTTTATAACACATTAATCATTGTTTGAATATTTAAGAATTCGCATATGTAAATTTCTCAAATGTACAAGCTTTTAATGTGTCAATAGGAGTGTCTGCTATCTCCTCTTCTGTAAATACAGGATCTATATTTTATAAATCCAACTCATCTTTAAGTTTAGGAATAAATTATGGATTGACCTTTTTGTGATATACGTCTTCCCAAGATAACGAATCGAAGAAAGGGTGGGCTTTGATCTAATCAATAGTGATTCTTTTGGTGGGTTCATTTATCAATAATTCAGTAAGCAAACTAGAGACTTCTTGTGAGAACCATGGTTTCATTTCAATTTTTTTTTCGAGTCTATTTCTGAACATCAAGCCTTTGTCATTAGAGTAGAATGGAGGAGCTCCAGCAATCATTTCATACATGAGTGCACCAAGACTCCACCAATCTGCTGATTAATCATGTCCTTAGCCTAACAAAATTTCAGGGGCTAAATATTCAGGAGTACCACAGAATGTATACGTTCTTTCTCCTTACTTTAAATTGATTCTAGACAAGCCAAAATCTGTCAATTTGAGATGTCCATCAGCCCCTATTAAAATATTTTCTGGCTTCAAATCTCTATAAATGATTCCTTTTTTATGAAGATATTCGAGTGCCAATATTAATTCTGCAGCATATAATTGCATTCTTTCTTCTGAAAACTTTTTGGATTTTCTAAGATGGTAGAATAGTTCACCTATTATGAAAAATGAGAATTACCTCCAGCAAGAAAATCAGTAACCAAATATAATTTTTCAGGAGTTTGGAATGCAAAATGCAATTAGACTATGAAAGGATGTTAAGCAACTTCCAAAATTTGTCTCTCATTCATTGTGTGCACTTATTGTCCTTTTTATTATATGACATCCTTTCTGAGTATTTTCATAGCATAATATCGTTTAGTCATTTTATGTTAAACCAACATGACCTTGCCAAATGATCCTCTGCCCACAACCTTTTTAGATAAATCATTAATAAACCTTTGTAAATATAAAATCTTCTAAGCATACCATATTCAATTGATCGTTGAGTTTGATTTGTTTTGCATCTAGGGGAAGTCTATTGCTGGAATCAGTTTTTGAATCTTCAACTAATGTGCTATCTTCCTTTTGAGGACAAATGCCCATAATAGAAAATATATTCAATTAAATAAATGGGAATAATGTTAAAATATAGCATATAATTATCTTTACATACAGGCTCCATTCTTCCTATAGTGCATATCTTCCCTATGCTAATGATTTAGTATGACTTTGTTTCTTAATCCGAATTTTTGGGTTCTATTGGTATTCCTTAATTGTTCATGTAGTTTGGCATTAATGTCTTCAGGGATATATGGGTACTTAAGACGATTGCTCACTTAGACTTCATATGGCAATTTATAAATAGTCGTATCAGTTAAATCATAATTCCTCCTCTCCTTGGAATATGCTGATTATGAAGAACTCACAACTCTGAATTCCTCTCCTTTTCTACCATTTGCCGGCCTTACTAATTTCTAATGCTTAGGAGTATTAATTTAGTGTTAGAATTCATCATTCTTCTACAAGAGTATTTCTACTTGTTCTGTAACTGTGTAAACAACTTGTTTTTTAACATATACTCCTCTTATTGAGTTTGGATTGCTGCTCAGCAATTCATTCCTACTCAGAACAGGTAAATTCATGTAGTTTAATAGTTAAGGACAAAGAGTCTTAATTTCTATATTGTTCTTCTTCATTTGATCTCTCAATGATTCGCAACTAAACTATTTTATGGGCGATTCATCAGATTCCAAAATGCCTAACAATCCTCTCTCATGGAAATAATACTGTTCCTCACTTTAACCTAAGTAGTAATAATTTAATGCAAGTTTTTCATAGATCTGCAATTCATATTCCTTACTCAACCATGCATATTACAAGGCTTTTTTCAATAAGATTAAAGCCTCGCTATTCAATTTTACTTCAGTTGCACAATTAGCCAATCCAATCAAGGCTTTTGCTTTTTCAGCATGATTTTTTGTTAATGTATTAAATATTCTCTCAAATTATAAAAGTTGATTACGTATTAATTATAATAGTAACAAGCATTATTATAATCTTTGATTTTAAGAAGGATGTCGGCTGTCATACAAACAATGGCTCCAAATTATTATAAGTTCCCACTGTCCACAATGTAACTCAATTAGATTTTGAATTCTAATTATATATCAGATGATGTTACAATTCATATAAAGTTCTTATTGTCTCCACATTAATTATTCTATTATTGGTTTTGTAAACAATAAATTGATATTAAAATTCTGATGCAAGTTTGAAGTTATGTGGATACTTTTGCGTTATTCTTTTTATTTCTCTGAAACTTCCTTTTATATTGTATTTGTTTGACTAATATCTAATTATTTGTATTGTATTGAACGAGATCTCAATTTATTTTATGTGAAACTGAAGCTCGTGCATTTGGTTGTTAGAAATGAATCTCCATTCATATTAATTTATTACACAAATTTATGGAATTTTATAATTATTGGTTGTTTCATCTTTGAAAATTAATTAACTATAATTACAAATCAATAACAATCATTGAAAAGTTACTATAAATTCTTTCGAATTCTAATAATTGTCAAGTAACCATTATGATAAACATGTAACAATGAGCCAATTCGACAATTCGACGATGTTCTGAAATTAATAGTGTAATAACAATATCAATAATATAAGACACTAATAGTTTGAAATAACACTTATAAGAACGTTAAAAATTATTAAATATGAATTAATATGATCGAATTAGACCTATCGTATTTTAAAAGGCTTCAGATGTTAACTATATTAGATCTAATTCGTTGGCTGTTCGATCATCTCCACTCAAATAAAAATTGGATCAATCTTTTGATTTATAAGCAGATTCAACCAAAAATCAAACAAATACAACAATGAAGGACATCAGTAATTATAAAAAGCTGTATGTGAGTGAATCATGTTAAAATAACAGTAAAGAAAACCAGCTCTCTGGCAAAAATTTCTCTTTTAGATTAGACGAAACCTCTTTTTTGAAATAACGAATTAAACAACTTGAAACTCAGAATACAAATCACATTTCTTAAAATAAAAAGTTAGCCCATGTTTTGGACTAATAAATACAATAGCATTAATAACTTTAGGAATAATATTAATAGAAAAATTAAATAATAAGAAAAATTGAAGATGTATAAAAAGAAAATAAATACTAATTATCAAGCAACACAGACCTCAAATAATTAAATGAACAATTAGTTTTATCCAAATAGGTTATTAGTAATTTAGAGGAGAAAATGCAACTTATTCTACAGGATAATCAAAAATTGAGTTAAGAAAACGACAGATTTCAGTTCCAAGATCAACAATTAAAAATTTAATTAGATAAGTATAAGAGCAGATGCTCAATTGTAGAGACCAAATTGAAATAAACACAGTAACATAAAATAATATTGTAGAGATGAATCATAATGCTTAGAATTACAACGAAAAATAAAGAAATAGAATGAAGATCTTGAGTTATTGTATAGAGAGAACAATGATATGAAATAATAATTGAATTAAAATAATAATATTATTTAACTTCAGGAGAAAGACAAATAATCATCTCAAAATGTGTAATATTCATTATTAATTATAGGGACAAATATAGGGAAACGATTTAAGAATTAGAATGTGAAAATAAATATTTATTAAAAGTTATAGACATTGATTAGTAGAAGATGAATAACCTAGAGAACAAGCTCAATTTATTGACAAAGGAAAATCAGAGATTGACAGATATAGTAAAGAATCGTCACAAATAATGACATCAAATTCATACTTTTTTATTGTTATTTTTTATTTAAAATTGCATAAAATTGATATACGATTGTAAAATCAATATCTGTAAACTGAACCATAGCCGAATGTTGGAGCTGCATAGCTGTAGGCTGGAGCATAACCATAACCATAACCATAGGTTGGTGCAACAACACTTGTTCTAACAGGAGCCACTGGAGCTACGTAGCTGTAAGAAAGAGGTGATGCATAGGATACTTGAGCAGGAGGGGCTCTTCTGACCTATTAAATTTATTGATTAAAACAAATACCTCTCTTTCATATTCTAAATAATCGACTCTTGGGACATTCTTCTCAACAGGAACGTAATCGATTTATTTCTCATAAGATACTTATGGCACGTATTCCTTTTGATATTCAACAGGGTAATAATCTGTAACCCATTTCTATCTTGGTACCTAATGTTTTTTGCTATCTACATACCTAAACAGTTCTGACTTCCTCTTCCAATTCAACAACAGGTTTTTGATATGGCACATATTCAACTCTAGATTCTCCTCTTATTGGTGAATATTGAGGTGCTGCATAGGAAACTGGTGGGGCGTATGAGATTGGAGCAGCATAGGAAATTGGAGCGGCATAAGACACTGGAGCAGCATATCCAACTAAAGGTTATTTGAATCATTTCTAACCTGGCAATGGTCTTGCTATTGAAGTTGCTAAGGGAGAAGCATAAGAGACACCTAATGGGGCATATGAGTACATCTTGTTATAATTATTAAAGCAAATAAAATTTATTTTTGTTTAATTTATATGCCGAAATAATACTACAAATATTTAATTTTGTTTGTATAAAAAGTGTCGAAGCATTAGTAATTATAAAAATAATTATAAGAAAAGAGAATTAAATTTTCTTTTAATTAATAATTTTATTGAAGTTGGTTTCATCTATTTTACAATATTTATCAGGTATCTTTTCGAATTATATAATATAGAATTTGTGTGAATTATTATAACAAAAAATGTTATTTAAAAATCATTATATTTATAATAATCAATTTTAGAATTATGTCTGAATATTTTAGAAAGTATATTAAAAAGGAACATTACCCAAGTCATTAGTAATTATAAAGATATATGCTTTTAGTTCAAACTTAAAATTTAAAACTTCATTTAGGAACTGCATTTTAGAAGTAAGCATAACAAATAATGAAAGGCTTTGAAAAGAAGGTAATGGAAAGAAGTAGAAGGAGATGATTGGGATATAATGTGGGCTGAAAAAGAATGGATTCATGAGGTTATGGATCACACTCATTTGCAGCCGAATCAAAAAATTAATCATTTTCGAAATCATTACGAAGTATTTTCAATGACCCTATCAATAGTTAACAAGAAAAGATTTGATGATCAAGAACTTAAAAAGATATAAGAAAAATTTAGAAAGGGAAGGAAAAACTGAGGAAGCTAATAAGTAATCTAGTTAATTTACATCTTCAGTTATAATTTCTTTCCTCAAACCTTTCATCTTCCTAGCGAGTATCCAATATTTTGTGAAGAGTTCAAACGATAATCCTAGAATGGTGAATCGAAAACCCCCTGGATTATGAAACCTGTATTTAAAAAATTAAAATTAGATTGGTAAATCTTAAGGTAAAGGAATATTTATTTTCAATAAAATACAATCGATATCTCAGTGGAAAAACACACTTCGTTTTAATCAAGAAGCATAATAAGCAGAGGCTTATATTGTTTAAAAATATATAGCAGATCCTCTCTTGATAGGAGGTAAAAAATTCGACATGAGAATATATTTACTATGTACATCTTACTAGCCTTTAACATTATATCTATATAGAACTGGCTTCGCTAGATTTACTCATCATCGTTATGATAATGAGGACATCTCCAACACATGTAAAGATCAATTCATTAATCATAGATGTTCATTTGACCAATGTAGCCATTTAAAAAACATCTGACAATTATGATGAGAAACTAGGAGGTAAATGGAATTTATAAACTCTTAAATTATTTTTAATGACTAAATTTGGATAGGAGAAAGTTGCCGAAACTTTTTATAATATTTAGATGTTAATGATTAGGTCATTACAAGCTGTGTAAAAAATTATAATTAATGATAAACATTGTTTTGAACTGTACGGATTTGATATTTTACTTGATGCCACTCTCAAGCCTTGGCTTTTAGAGGTAAATGCAAGGTATGTAGATACTTTATAAACTATAGTCCATCAATGACATCTAATACTCCTATTGACTTTGAATTGAAATGTGGACTTTTAGATGATGTTTTTACTATTATTGATTTGGAGAAGGTATTGACTGGGAATGAAGAACAAATTGGTGGCTTTGATTTAGTCTGTAGAGGAACCCCTATTAAATTACCAATTAATAGCACTTTTACTACTTATTTAGGTTCCTTTAATAACAGATAATAATAATTAAAGAAAATCGCTAAATCTACAGCCATTAGATTAGCACAAATATACTAAGAAACTCAAGCAAAAGCTATTGACAATGGTTAGAAAAGTTAAAAGGAAAAAGATGATAAAGAAAAATAGTAGAGAAGTACATCGAAAGGGCCTCAAACCATACAAGTAAATTGGAATAATATATTAGAATGGAGTCAACAATAAATTAGGAATGCAACCTAAATAAAATTCGATGATCAAAAGAAATGGCACTAACTTGCCTGCTTTAGGTACTGTTTAAAATAAGAACACTGTCAAAAGATAACCGTTATAAAATGCAGTTTAACTTTAACCCGCTTAGGTATAGCCTCTGAATTCCAACAAGAAGTAATCAACATTTATAATTCATAGAATAAATCAGAGTGAGGAATAAATACTGACGGTAAATTAAAAACTTTAATAACTTACATAAGATAAATAGTTGTCCACTTTCTAACCTTATAAATAATAATCACAATACAATGATGTTATGGGAATGAGCAATAGGAACATATAAAGAGACGAAGAATGATATATTCAAAATTGCTAATTATTTAGTAATAATTAAATAATTTTCTTGATTATTTCAATTTGTTTTCTTTCTAATATAAACCCTCATAGAGATAATTTAATAACATTTATACATCATTTGCCATATTATTTTCAGTATCATTTTGTAATTCATACAAGTAATTTAGTTTTATACTTGAAAATATTTAATATTTTATTCAAAATGTTCCCGAAATTATAGAATCCAATTTATGATATGGATTTAACCAAAAAAAATAAATATCAAAAAGATCTTATGTTTCTGGACCTTTAAGGACTAAAAATATAGAGACCTGCTCAACCACTTTTTAGTCAGCAAATAACTGAGAAAAATTAACAAAAAGTTGACCCTTTGATAATAAGATTAAAACATGAAAGATTTTATCATAGTTCTGTGCCATCTTTGCCACCTTTATACATAATTAGACCCATTAGAAAGGAAACAAAGGATCGAGCTTATATTAAAGCATAATTTATAAAAAATCAGTTTGAAAATTATGAAAAGCTACTTTAAAACTGAACCAAACTTGATAAAATTAAATTCTGATTTCTATTTCGTAAGTAAAAATGAATCAAAATCTTTTACATAAATCATCTAATTCTCTGCTTTTTTATTCTAAAAGTAATCTTAAACTTCTATTTTCCTTCTCTACTTATTCTAATAGTGTTTCATAGTATCTCTTTAAATGCAATGTTTCTTTTTTTTTTTAATCTTCATACATATAATCATCTTAGTCCTTTTGTTTCTAAAATAATAAAAGTGTCGATTTTAAGCTCTCGTTCTCTATTAATAAGTGCTAATTTGTAGATGAGAGCTAAAAACATAGTTTAATTATAATACATCATTGATTTTAAGCGTCATTGATTGCTTAAATTATAATAATTGCTCAATTTCACTTAAATTTGACTCTTAACTTCGCTTGTATTAAGCTAAGGCTTCTTCCATTTGCTTTAATTACTATTGAGTTGATATTTAATATTGTATTTATGAATCTTTGAATTCTTTATTTTTAAGTTCTACAAGTAATTTATTATGATTATTCAATTCAACTATTTGTTCATTCTTTAAATTTAATTCATTAATTAATAATTAATTTTCTTCTGTCCTGTAAGTTACAATCTAAATGGAGTGAATTATCAATATACCTATTCCATATCAGCCAATTTTTTTGTTAATTGAAACTTCTCTTATTAATTGTCACTTGAATCATTTTTATAGAGTATTTGCAAATCTTCTAACTTTGCTTAATATTATCTATGTAACTCATCTTCCTTTAACTTAGATCTTCTCTAAATATTCAAATTTCAGATACATTAATCGATTCAATTTCTCTTTTAAATTTGAGAATTTGATTATCCTTATCGATTATCTCCTATTCTAATTTCTAAATTATGAATTCTTTTTCTTTGATTTCGTGGTCATCAAGCAATTTGTTTGAGAATCCTTTATCAGGAATATCCATATTAAATAATCTTTCTTTTAATCTACTATTCTCAATTGATAATTATTAATTTTCCATTATTTTTTTCTCCAATGTATTCCTCATATCATCAGATTCTTCCATCAATTGTTATAATTCCTAATCTATCACACATTTTTACTTTAAATCCACTTTCTAATTTCAATGCTCGTTCCTTCCATTTTTATACCTCACTTTCGGCGTCAGAGGTCTTGCTATTGTGATTATTGTAATGCATTCAATTAAAACAAAATTTAAAAAGCTGTTAAAAATAATATTTAATAATGTATTCTATGATCCATTAAATAAAAAATATAGGAAACCCTAATGCTACTCATAATATGAGAAACAATATTACAAATATTTGATAATAATAAAATGATAATTAAAATGTTCTGAATTAAACAATATTAGATGATGTAATTATTAGAATAATATAGTGATAGCTATAACGATAACTTATAGAATATCTCTATTTTGAAATATTAACATAAACTATTTTATAAAATATAATTGAATTTGATCTTGAATTAATGATAGAGAATTAACAGATCATGAAATATAAGTTTATCTTCAATTATATAATATGTTGAATGCAGTGATTCCATCAGAAAACTGTCTAAACATGTCATATTGAAAGAATCTTCTAATTGTAACTCTAACATCATCTGATTATAAAATTTTTTCATTCAAAAAATTAAGCAACTTCAGTAATTCATTATCTTAAGGATCGTCAATAAAAGGAGTTATTGGAATACCATTGTATGGCTAACCCCTAAATCACTTATATTAATATATACATATAGAAAATTGGGCTGTTATCAATTATTACAATCTTGGAATAGTTGTTTGATAGAATTCCTAAATGTTTTATTTACATTTTGCTTTATAGAGATACGCAATTGTTTCTGTAAAAATGACCCTTAAAGAAAGTATTTTCTGGATCAATAAGATTAATTATCTAAAAATTAATAAATAATATTTTACTGTCTTTGCATATTTTTAATTTGCTGAAGTATAGACAAATAAATCAGCAAGTTAACTTAACTCCTTTAGTACTTGATAACAATACGGTCTAATAAACAATCCAAATTCATTATTTTTAAAATCATAAACTTTATCTTTTTGTACTTCTTCTGAATGAACAAGAGTTTCATCGAGATCAAAGACGATTTTTACCTATTTTTACGATTTCCCATAGTACAATAGAGAAACCTCAGGGATTAATTCTTGATAAGTCATTATCATGTGTATTTAATTGAGAGCATCCCTACTCATTTTTTTTAAGGGAGAATTATCCTTAAGACCACTTGTTAGAATTTCTTTGATTTTATCAAAAAAATAATTTCCTTGATAAACCTTCTTTATATACACTTAATTATTCAGGTTAACCTTTCTTGTAAATTAGCCTGATCTACTTGCTGCTATGACTTTTTATTTTGATTTTTCTTCATTCTAATATGAAGTATCATTGTTGGAATCGATTTTTATAGACTCCAGCTTTATTCTTGAGATAGATTGATTGGTGATTTTCACCTATTTCGATATTGTAATATTTGATTGAGTTCGATTTCTGTTTAATTGTTATGCAAGTTTGCTCAACTAGGGCTAAAAAGAGTTATGAATATTAAATACATCTCTTTGTAATAATTTCCATTGTTCTGAATTAATTGTACTTCTTTAAAATATCAAAGTTTTTGTATTCATGTATTTTGGCTATGAAATTCTCAATATATTATTAAATAAATTAAAACAGTTCTTAGCTATCTCAAATATATAGAACGGTATGATCCAATATATAAGAAAATATTTTATAGGAAATAAAAATAAAAAGAAAAATTTTAAAGTATCCTCTGCCTGAAAGTTGTAATTGTATTTAACGTTTGGTAAAATAATAGTGTATTGAAATTGCTTATTAATTATGTGAAATGAATTTGATAAATTTAAATAAATATCTTATCTTAACTTTTGCAGAAATAATAAATTAATCAGGGTGTTTGCAAATATAAATTAGGAAAATTTATTTCTGAAATTTATTGAATTTTATATTGCTAAAGTTTACAGTGGCATATTGCATGTAGTGNATAGTTGTTTGATAGAATTCCTAAATGTTTTATTTACATTTTGCTTTATAGAGATACGCAATTGTTTCTGTAAAAATGACCCTTAAAGAAAGTATTTTCTGGATCAATAAGATTAATTATCTAAAAATTAATAAATAATATTTTACTGTCTTTGCATATTTTTAATTTGCTGAAGTATAGACAAATAAATCAGCAAGTTAACTTAACTCCTTTAGTACTTGATAACAATACGGTCTAATAAACAATCCAAATTCATTATTTTTAAAATCATAAACTTTATCTTTTTGTACTTCTTCTGAATGAACAAGAGTTTCATCGAGATCAAAGACGATTTTTACCTATTTTTACGATTTCCCATAGTACAATAGAGAAACCTCAGGGATTAATTCTTGATAAGTCATTATCATGTGTATTTAATTGAGAGCATCCCTACTCATTTTTTTTAAGGGAGAATTATCCTTAAGACCACTTGTTAGAATTTCTTTGATTTTATCAAAAAAATAATTTCCTTGATAAACCTTCTTTATATACACTTAATTATTCAGGTTAACCTTTCTTGTAAATTAGCCTGATCTACTTGCTGCTATGACTTTTTATTTTGATTTTTCTTCATTCTAATATGAAGTATCATTGTTGGAATCGATTTTTATAGACTCCAGCTTTATTCTTGAGATAGATTGATTGGTGATTTTCACCTATTTCGATATTGTAATATTTGATTGAGTTCGATTTCTGTTTAATTGTTATGCAAGTTTGCTCAACTAGGGCTAAAAAGAGTTATGAATATTAAATACATCTCTTTGTAATAATTTCCATTGTTCTGAATTAATTGTACTTCTTTAAAATATCAAAGTTTTTGTATTCATGTATTTTGGCTATGAAATTCTCAATATATTATTAAATAAATTAAAACAGTTCTTAGCTATCTCAAATATATAGAACGGTATGATCCAATATATAAGAAAATATTTTATAGGAAATAAAAATAAAAAGAAAAATTTTAAAGTATCCTCTGCCTGAAAGTTGTAATTGTATTTAACGTTTGGTAAAATAATAGTGTATTGAAATTGCTTATTAATTATGTGAAATGAATTTGATAAATTTAAATAAATATCTTATCTTAACTTTTGCAGAAATAATAAATTAATCAGGGTGTTTGCAAATATAAATTAGGAAAATTTATTTCTGAAATTTATTGAATTTTATATTGCTAAAGTTTACAGTGGCATATTGCATGTAGTGTACTAGTAAATCCACAACTTTTATTATAAAAAAACACATATCAGCTTAACAAATTCATATCATATATTAATTTCGTTTACTCATTCTTTATAATATAATAATTTATATATAGAATCAAACTCATATGGATGATTATCTTATATTGATTACCAAAATTGATTTGATTTAGTCCTTATTAAAATAAATGTAAACGAAATAGGATATGCTTAGTAAATAATTAAGAAAAAAGATTTTTCTTTTTTTTCAATACTTAAAAATAAATTTTTGTGTTCTATTTAAGTATTGAGAAAGGAACTATTTATTTTAAAAATAATATGTCTAAATTAGAACTTAATGATTTAAGTAAAATGGCAAAGTAAAGATAAAAAGAAATTATTCAAAATATTACAAAATATCGTGAGTTAAGATGATTTGAATCTAAAAGATTTCAATATACATGAGATAAAACAATGCTAATATACAAATGTATATAAGTTAATGATATGATCTCCAATATTTTTGGTTTCTGAGAATAAAATCAATTTTCAAGAGAGCTGTATAATATGCTACATACTTTGTTTGAATATATCTTTGAATGATTTATAGATATATATCAAATGAATAAATATTAACTTGAATATATCTACGCTTAAAAGTAAATTCACAAATATTATATGTTTTATAAAAATTAATATAGATACTATAAGTTACTAAATTGAAGTAAATATTATTGATTTAAGAATGCATAATATATAGATTGATTTGAAAATGATAGCAGTTTTTTGGTATTATAGAGTTTTTTCTAAGATAGAATCTTCATTTCTTTATTTTAAGGATTAAATATCTATAGAAATATTATTATTTGTATTATAATTAATATGAGAAGAGTTTAATCAGCAGCACCAAATTTAGGTAAAATGTATAACTATGTCATCAGAATTCTCCATGGAGGATATGTTCAGAATAGCTACAAAATAAACATCTACTTTTGGAATCGAAGGATATGAAGTTACTAAAAAATATGCCGATCCACTCAAGCAAATGGAAGATAGAAAGTTTTCAGCTTAAAAGAAAGGTAATAAGTATATATTCATATACCAGGTCAAAAGAATTTAGGCTACGTAACTAAAAGAGGACATTATTTAGAAGATCAAAAGAAAATTTATGAAAAATTGCCAGCTCCAAATAAATACGATATCGTCAAGCCTTGGGTGACTGAAGCTTAATCAGCTCGTCCAAGAACAGCACCTCCAAAAAGGTAGTTTTAACGATATATTATGTTAGAACAACATTTATAGATTAAATATTTAAGGAAGCAAAATTAAGAGGAGTTCCAGGTTCTGGAAAATATAATGTGGAAAAACCATTGGATGAAGTATTGAAATAAGTAGAAGAATAAAAAAAGAAAAAAATTGAGTAAACTAATTTTATAATGTTTATTAGAGCAGGTGAAAGACCCACCTACTTAAATGAGATATAACACTTAGCAGTTATCAACCCAGGCCCTGGAAACTATAACCCCAGAGTAATATATTACCATATATATAAGCCTATATCTAAAAAATTGAAGAGAAATGAAACTAAGCCTGCTGATTTTATTGCTAAACATAATGACTAAGCCAAAAAAAGAGGAAAGTCAGCATTGCCTGATGTAGGTTCTTATAATCCAGAACCAGTTTCATTTACAACCTTTAATAAATTATAAGGAAATGCTAAAAAAAAAGAAAGAGTTGATAAGCATGTAATTCTGAAAATTAATTTAGACTTTTGGAACTGATGTGAGGTTCAAAGATCCTAAAAAGAGCAAATCTAAATAAGGCTTGCTACCTGGGCCTGGTCAATATCCTATGATTGTGTAATGGCAAGGGAAAGAACAAGACAAATCCAAAGCCAAGATAAAGAATTATATGTAATCCACAACCAAGGGAATATAAAGATCAATATATTATTGAGATAATGATGATATTTTTATAAATTTTGATTACGATATCTAATGATCTATTTTAAAGTCTAGGTTATGCATAATTCAATCAATTTTTCTAGAAGAAGAAGGAAGATTAAAATTTAATATTTAACAATAACTTTAAAATCATACTTAAAGCTTTTTAAGAGCACTATGAAAGTCTTTTATAAAATAGGCTAAGGTGCAGGTTAATGCATCTATATCCTCAAATTTATCAGGATCTATGACATCAGGGTTTTTATTAATTAATTAGGAAATTGAATTGAGATGTGATTTCTTAAATGTTTTTTCTTTGATAGTTTGTAGGAATAAAGCTAAATTAATAAAAATACTTACGAAATTATTTTTCATTGTCTTACAAAAACTTAGAGGCTTTATCCCAAAAATGCTAATCTTCAATTTCATATGCATTGAAATCTTCAACTATAACTAGAAAAACAAATATCACTTATTTAACAGATTCAGGTATTTCTTCTTGTTAAAGGAGATCGCTGACAAAATTCATCTCTATAATTTCAAATGAATCAATTGTCATTGTTTTGAATTCTATTGGTATCACAATCTCTTCTTCTTATTCTTAAATTTCTTGATTGTTTTCCATTTATTAAATTTGAGAGTCCAAATTTTAAGAGTTAGCATCACTTTCATCTAAATGCTAGAGTGATACTTGATGTTATTCTTTGATAGGGGATGCTTATATTGATTATTAATTTTCAGATTGATTATCTTCAGCATTATTAAGTGAGTGTTATGGTGAGATTGCATCTTGTTTTTATCCATGAAATTAGGACTTTTAACAATTTTTGGGACTTGAAGCAGCTTTAACTTATTAGTCACTTACCAAAGTTAAAGATTGTGAAGGACTTTTTTTTAAACCTATAAGTTCTCTTGAAGAAGAGGAATGAGATTTGGGTTGGTTGTTTAATTTAATTGGTTAGGTATTGCTGAATTATTTTTAAGATTCCAGAACTTGAGTCTTTAACTTTTTAGGGTCTGGCAATGCTTTAATTGCTTCTTAATGTTTAATTTGATTATTCCTTTGATTTGCAGATGAGGGGATATTTTGTTAACTATTCTATTATTAAAATTTTGGTTTGGATTGGGATAGTTATTTGTGATCTTAAGTTTTTTCTCTTTCTTATTCTAACTTCTTCAATTAGGTTTTGATTATTGTAGCATCTGGTTTCTATGCCTAAATTTAATTCTATTACGACGTATGGTAAATTGGATTAGTGGTATGATGTTTAGTATCCTTTCTAACGGTCTTTTGTAATTCTGATCCAAATAGCTTGGATTCTAATAATTGAATTCTTTCTTGCTGTTGTTCAACTAGCTTTTCTAGCCTTTCGATTTTCTCAGACTACTCCTGAACTATTGATAAAATTGTTGCTTCTATAACCTCCTTGATTTTTAACTTGATGTCAGAATCAGACATTCTATTATGGCTATTAAAATAAAAATTATTAAAATATGATTATCTTCATATATTATTTTATATATTCAATATGATTCACCATGATACTCATATATATATATATTGGATATGGTTTCTAAGATAATAACTTATATGTAATAATAAATATCAGGCAGATGTATAATTTCCAACTTAATGTTCAAGTTCTGCAACCTTTTGCGTTCCTGCTATTATCAACTACTAGATTTGACTCTTTTCTTTTTTCAATTCTGTGATTTAGCTTTACAATTTAGAATTCTCATCCTTTTATGTATTGATTGCCTAGATCAATTGATTAATACTTATCTCAAATCCCTTAGCATTGCATCTAGTGTTGGTTAAGTGGTGTTCTTGATTTCCTCATTGTTATTTGTTATCCTTTGCTTCATCAGATGTAACTCCTATTTTAATTGATCAATCTCATTCTTGTAGCTTTATAGTAATTCATTAGATAACTCTGTTACATTCTTTTGCTTACACGAGATTATTTACATTAACTAGCAACAAGTGATTTTTAGCATTAGTGGCTGATTCTTAATCCAATTTAGAACTATGTGGCATTTATTATTAAATCTCAGACATTTTATAAAATATATATTAAAAAATTTTTTGCAAACACAAAAGAGACTTAAAAAGAAGTATTTTTCCTTTTTTTCCAAAAAAAACATAATTATTATATAATTTTTGATTATTTAACTTTTTTTTTTTTCAAATCAAAGAAGTATTTGGAATGTTTCTAGGGATTTTTTGCTTGATTATTCCTTTTTGTCCTTCTTTTCCTTTGCCTCCTTCTATTCACTTTAATCCTTTGATTGTTGATCTACCTAAGATTTGCTCTTAGATTTACTTTTAGTAACTCTATACTTGATACCGTATCTGTGTTTCTTATACTGTTTTTCAGTTTAGAATACTTTGTTACAGTGATCACAAGTCAAGGAGACTTTCATCTTGACGGATTTCTCAATAGATTTTCCAATTTTCAATATGCTTTTTTCTTGATTCTATTTTTCCTCTTCAATTTGAGCATTCTGTTATGGATCCTTATCTGTTTATGATTGAGGTTATTTCTTTTCTGGAGCTTTTGGAGTTGGTTCTTAGATGATTTGAGGTTGTTTTTCAACTACTTCATTTTCCATTTATCCATTATTATTTTAAATTTATGATTGGAGTGAATCAATCTGCGAAGAAAGATCAGCACACTTTTCATAAAGCATGGCAACTGTTTGAAAGTGCTATGTTAATGGAATATATTTCATTTAATTAATATTTTTGGAAGCTTAGGGAGGATATTTTTAAACCACTTTTTCCTGAAAATAATTTTACAAGGGAATTTTTTGGTTGAATTGGAAAAATGAATTTTTTTAAAGGAAAATCCAAATTTAAACAAGCTTTATTAGATTAGAATTTGAAAGAGTGATAAAAATTAATAAATACAATTTGAAGTTAAAAATTTCAAAATTTTTAGTTAATGGAATTGTCATTTAATTATTTTTAGTTTTTATTACACTTCTTTTATTTTAGTAAATTCTGCCTAGACTCTCTTTTTCCATAAGTCTTCATTCATTTCTAAAATCAATAATTTCTAATCAACTTCATCCTTTAACTTCTCCTCCTTCTCTACTTTTAGCTCTTTAAATGAGATGATCTTCTCCTTCATCTATAATTATTGCTCTTTTTCTTTCAATTGATTTTATTTCTCTTACTAAACATTAACTATTTTTTTCTCTTACTAAGTAATTCTATTTTTTAGAGATTGAATATTTTCGACTTCTATTTGTAACTATTCTTGAAGTATAAGTAATTAAGATTATCTTTCTTTGAGTAGTAATTTGTCTTTCTCCAGCTTCTGCCAATCATTTAACAGCTAATTTATTAAATGTAATTGCATACTTGTTTTTCCTTTAGCTTAACTTCATTCTCATATTGTCTAATATTTTGCATGGCTTCTCTGGCTTCCTTTAAGTCACCTATCATTTAGTTTTGGGATTTTTCCAATCTTTGAATTTCCTCATTCAACGAATCTATCTTCTTTAACTTAAAGGCCAATTCTTCCTAGTAATCGTCCTTTTCCCTTACAACCTTTTTTAATTGATATTTCAATTCTTCATTCTCCTCTTTCAATCTAATCATGTCTGATTTAATTCCTTAATTATCTTACAATAATTAATTCAACTCAATAGATCGCTTATCTAATAAACTTTTGGTAATTTTGAGCTCCTCCCTCAGTAATCTGAGATTGGTGTTTTCTTGTATACTAAAATAATCAGATGTAGATGTTTCATTCAAATGACTTTATTATTTATGAAATGAATCTCTACTTCGCCTGACAACCTCAGTTTAAGATGTTTCTAGATAAGATGAACTACGTTTGGGCTCAGTGATGAGTTTCTTTTAATGAGTGGATATCATATTCTTGATGAAACCAATTCGATCCATTATTTGATAAGTGTGTGCCATATTCTGTTTCATAATTATATTAAATAAGCGTATATGTGTGGTTATTTGAAATTAAATAAAATCTTTTTTTATTATTCATGGGTATTTCAAGAGATAGCAGACACAAAAGAAGACTCACAGGTGGTCGTATGCCAATCCATAAGAAGAAGAGAGCTTTCGAGAAAGGAAGACAAGCTGCTATGACTAAATTGGTATCTGGCGAAAAGAGAGTTAGAAGATTGAGAGTCCGAGGAGGAAACTTCAAATTCAGAGCTCTTCGTTTATCCGATGGAAACTTCTCTTGGGCTAGTGAAGGTGTTGCAAAAAAAGCAAAGATTGTCGAAGTTGTTTATCATCCATCAAATAATGAATTAGTCAGAACCAAAACACTCACCAGAGGTGTCATTGTGTAAGTCGATGCTACACCATTCAAACAATTTTATTTAAAGAAATACAACATCGATTTGGGAGCCAAAAAGACTCAAAAGAAGGTAAAATTGTTTAATTACTCTCCTAGGACTAACCAGCACCTTAAGAAGTCAAGAAATCAAACTCATTAAAAAAGAAACTAGAAGCCAGATTGAAGGATAGAGTTATTGATAATTTAGTTGCTGAATAATTCTAAAATCAAAGACTTCTAGTCAGAATCACATCAAGACCAGGACAATCTGGCAGAGCCGATGGTTACATTCTTGAAGGAAAGGAACTAGAATTTTATGTTAAGAAGGTCGAATAAAAGAAAAAATGAGTTTTTCTCTATTCATAGTACATTAGTAATAGATTTATCAAGTAATATTC